AAAAAAAAAAGGATGAGATGAGGATGAAATAGGATCTCTGGATAATGACTGTATTTCAAAACCTCTGGAAGGCAAAGGGAGGATGACAGCTGACCCTCCTTCATTTGTTACTTCTGTTAATACCCTTCTGAGAGGATCCAATCACTGCAGGTAGTATCCCTGCTGTTCCTTTTTCATATACCAAACCTCCTCCAGGATATTCTCCAAATCCTTCCAAATTTGCACGTGGGTGTGAGAGAAAGGAAAACCATTCCTTTTATTCCCCACCTCAAGTTCCACTTTGTAAACTGATTAAACAAACAGGATAAAGAGACAAGAAAACCACATACTTACTTTTCATTAATTTTCCTGATAATTCCTTTAGTGGTGAAGAGGGACTATTTCTACTGGCTACCAGAAGTCTGGAGGAGGATTCTTGGGTTTCCATGGAAACTTGATGCGTTCCTGTTCTGGCCATTTCAAGATGGAGAGAATGGGCATGGTCACATTCCCGGGAAAGCAGCAAGTGATTCTGAATGTTGCTAGTTCTATTGTTCAGGTCAATTCCTTCGGATTGGGTCATAAGCAATTGGGCTGGGCTAGAATCCTCCAATCTCTTGTCAAGAGACTCAGTTACAAAAGATGTTGCAGTTTCATGCTTTATAGATGGAGAGACAGGCTCAGCCAATGAGCTCTGCTTCACGGTGTTCAGACTGTGTGCTCTTATTCGGGACCAAGTTGTAGAGTGAAAACTTTCAGCTTCTAACCAAAATTTAACCAAATGCTCCATTCTCCGAAGTTCCATGAATTGAATGAAATAAGGGAGGACAACAGTGTCGCGCAAGACTTGTTCAAGGGTCTTTGAAAGACTTGATTTGGTCTCTTGAGTCTGGTAGTCCAGACAAGATCTGCCTGAAAGAAGCAAAGATTAGCAGTTCAGTAACAATTTAAGATTAATGGATTTGTCAGCCACCTTTAGCATCAGTGGTACCAGAATTCTTGAATAAAGTTTACTTCCCTAGCAATTTAAATGAATAAAGAGCTAGAAATACTATCATTGTGGCTTCTAAACAGGCAAAGAAACAAGTCTCCAAAACTTAATCAATCTATTAAAAAGCTCTAGCTCAATTATTTTTACCTAACTTTTAATGGCAGTTCAGACCATGTAAATTCTTGAGAAAAAAAAAATCTTATGATACTAGTCCCAAAGAAAGGCCAATAAAAATGTGAAAATAGATTCAATCTAATTAAAAATGCAGAAAAGCAAATTAATACAAGATAACATTTTTGTCAAACTGGAAGACGTTTTTTCAAAAAATAACAAAAACAAAGGCACAGCAGAACAGGAAACACTGGCACCCACTGATGATGAAAATGGCAAAACCTCTTTGGAGGAGCTTTCATAACAGCAAAGCTCTAATAATCTGCATGATCTGCAATCCAGTAACTCCACCTCCAGGAACTTTTCCTGAGCAAAATGGTCCATGTGTGGATACAGCCAGAAAGATGTTACCAGCTCTCAGCATTTGTTACAACAGAATAAAGAGTAGCTCTGGGATTTTATCTTGAAAAATAAAACGAAACTTACCAAAACTTAATAAAAATAAGTTCATTTTATATGTAACTAAATTCAGGTTACGATTATAACCACAGTTATTTTTTTTGTTTATATTTACGGCATTGACATACTGAAGTTTATCTTCATAAAATTAACAGGATTTCATCAATTTTTCAAAAGGGCTTTTCTTAATCCTTTGATATTCAAATCATTTTCTTTTGAAGCATTTCATGTGTCATCCTTGCTGGCTGTCTCATTTTCTTTTTCTTTTTTTGAGAGAGAGGGCACACTTGAGCAAGCACTGCCCAACACGGGGCTCTGTCTCATGACCCTGAGATCATGACCAGAGCCGAAATCAAGAGTGGGGCGCTTAACCGACTGTGCCACCCAGGCACCCCCTGGCTGTCTCATTTTCAATGTTAACCAGTGCATCTTTGTCAACATCACTTCCTTGAACTTCAGGAAATCCTGATCCTTTGCAAGAGTCACAATTTTTTAAATTAAATTTTTAATTTTGAGATAACGGTAAATTCAGATACACTTGTAAGACAATATAGAGATCCCATGTACCCTTTACCCAGGTTCCCCATGGTGTATCTTACAATACTATTGTACAGTATCACATCAAGGTACCGACATTCACAATCTTAGAAGGTATGACCCACCAATCTTACTCAGATTTCCCCATTTACCTGTATTCACCTGTAGACTTCATTTTATGCAATGGAATCTATGCAATTTTATCATATGTAACCGCCAAGATACTGAACAGTTCCAATGCCACGTGGCCTTTTATAACTAACTCCTCCGTTCCTAACCTCTGGCAAACCCTACTCTGTTCTTCCATTTCTCTAATTTTGTCATTTCAAGAATATTATACAAATGGAATCATACTGCATATAACCTTTTGGGATTGACTTTTAACGCACAGCATAATTCCCTTGGGATTCATGCAAGTTGTTAGGTATATCAATAGTCTGCTCTTTTTTACTGCTGACTAGTATTCTCTGGCATGCACGTACCAGTTTGTTTAACCACTCACTTGCCTGCTGAAAGACAGTCAGTTTTTTACATTTAAGCTGCTATGGACATTGGAGTATAGGTTTTTGCGTGAATATAAGTTTCCATTTCTCTGGGATAAAGGCCGAAGAGTGCAATTGCAGGGTCATATGACAACTGCATGTTTAGCTCTATAAGAAACTGCCAAACTGTTTTCCAGAGTGGCTGTACCATTTCACATTCCCACCAGCAACAAAGGAGTAATCCAGTAAAACTTACGATTTTACTCTGGGATCAACAAATGCTGTTTGCAATGTACTGCTGAGCGTGACCCATAAACACTTTGACGCCTCTGAATATACACAAATGTTAAGCAAATAGGTCAAAAGAGGAACTAATTTTATTAGACATCAATTTATTCACTTTTTTTTTCAATTTATGATACCACGACATGCAATTTTTATAAGTTCAGAGCTTTGGGTAATTAAAATTCAGAAATTATCGATCTCCTGCATATCCTTTTTTTGGGGCGGGTCGGCGGAAAGAAGTTATTTTAACATGATAGGGATCCTACTACACTCATTGCTATGTGACCTGCTTTTTGCACTTTAACCTTAGATATTTCTCTATGTCATCTTCAGACTTTTAAATGGCTCCCCAATATTCCAAATGCAGGTATACCACAATTTGACTACTTCTCCATTAATAGATATTTGCATGCTGTTCCTCCTTTTTTTGCTTTCACAAACAATACTGCAATAAACAGCTTTCTACATACTTGTATATACATCTTTTTGCATATATGTGAATACAACTGAGGGCTAAATCTTCTATATTTTGATAAATGTTTCCAAACTGCCTTCCAAAAAATCTTCATCAGTTTACACTTCCACTAAATAGGAATGGCCGTTTCTCTTCATCTCCATTACCATTCAAGTGATCAAATTTTAATATTTGCTGATGTGTTGGGGGAACATTATCTCATTACTAAAATTTGCGTTTCCCTGAGTATGAGTGAAATGAGGCATCTTTTTCATATAATTAGCGGCCAAATGTATTTCTTCTCCTGGACATGGCCCATTTTTTTTTTTAATTGAGAATGCTTTATATTTTACGCTTATGGGGACACAATAGAGTGTCATACTTATAGCTGTTATTTTATTTATTTTTTTAAGTAGGCTCCATGCCCCATGTGGGGATCGAACTCACAACCCTCAGATCAAGAGTCACATGCTCTACTGACTGAGCCAGCCAGCCAGGCCCCCCTATAGCTGTTATTTTAAAAACATTTTTTCAAAGCCCATTCCCATTATACAGTTCTAGTATCCTCTAGCAAGAGTTTCACATAATACAATCAAATACTTCTTCCTGCTGGACGTGAACAAAAAGTGAGTCACTTACCCAGGTCACCAAAATGAGCAGCCTCCATGTGGCTTGGCTGCTTCTTAAGTGTCGCTGTCCTGCTACTTGAAAAGGAGTCCATGTTGGCAGAAATGGCATTGATTGCAACATGACTTGGTCCTGCCGCCTCCAGCAAGGCATGATTTTTAGTGCTTTTTTGTGGGGAATGTACAGATATTGAAGCTATAATTTTTCAAAAAAAAAAAAAAGGTTAAAAATTTAGCACAATTTGATAGCCTAAAAATGTCTCATAAAGGGCTTTAAGAGAACTTTAAAAATTAAATTTTGTAAACACCTCTCTTAAGTATGCACACTCAACAAAAAATACTTAGGGGAAAGGCAATCAAGCAGCAGAAAGCTGGAAAGAAATGTCCTATTATTATTTATAACTCTCAAAATACTGTGCCAAAAATGGAACTTAAAACAGATGTTTCTTTGAGAACGTCTACTGATGACAGAAAGTACCAAAGCCAAAAAACATTCTAATATATGGACCCTTTTCTGTTTTTTTAATTTTTATTTTATTTTTTAAGATTTTATTTATTCATTTGACAGGCAGAGAGACTGCGAGAGAGGGAACACAAGCAGGGGGAGTGGGAGAGGGAGAAGCAGGCTTCCCGCCAAGCAGGAGCCTGACGTGGGGCTCAGTCCCAGGACCCTGGGATCATGACCTGAGCCGAAGCCAGACGCTTAACCAACTGAGCCACCCAGGAGTTCCCTTATTTTACTTTTTAATTGGGTAACAAAATTTCTCTAATGAAAAACTTTTATGATCAAAGTTCAAGCTGCTTAAAGATAAAGCACACTTAAAAAATCCACAAAATACATTTTCTTTAGTAGTCTGAAGAAATATCCTATTGACATCAGAATAAAGAGGTTACCCATTAACATGTTAATAGGATATAAGCAACTCAGTATCACAATATTGTCAAAGGAGTCCTGTGACCTTGTTGCTACAGCTGGATCAACATTCCACCTCTCCTATTTATTCCACACAAATATTAATGACTCTTATTAAAGGTTTTTAAGAAGTGTCGGCCTAGTACATTGCTATAGCAATGTGGCTATATTGCTAAATATAAAATTTATATTTTACGCTTATGGGGGTGGCTGGGTGGCTCAGCCGGTTAAGTGTCTGTCTTCAGTTCAGGTCGTGATCCCAGGGTCCTGGGATCGAGTCCTGGCAGGGCAGGGAGCTGCTTCTCCCTCTGCACCTCCCCCCTGCTTGTGCACTCTCTCTCTCTGACAAATAAATAAATAAAATCTTAAAAAAAAAAAGACAGAAATGATACAGGTCAGCCTCAAGATAAATACTCTCAGAGAACCAAACTTAAAGCTACTAGCACCATTTTTGTATTACATTGTCAACACATAAATGCTCTCATCTCAGCAAACAGTTCCCAGACAGAATCTGAGTAATACTAGGCAATATTTCTTATGAAGAATACACAGTAATGTAATTCAGTCTATTACTCTTTGAGATGCTTTTATAAATATAAAGCAGGTAAGAACGTGAATGTCCATACCTGTCTGCCAGGTTATCTATATTTACTAGTCATTCAATGAGAGGTGGGAGAATGATGCAATTGAGTTATCTTCAAGAAATTTTTAATTTTATTTATTTATTTATTTTAAAAATTTTATTTATTTATTAGGGAGAGAGAGAGAAAGCACAAGCATGGGGAGTGGCAGACAGAGGGAGAAGCAGGCTCCCCACTGAGCAGGACTTGTGGGACTTGATTCCAGGACCCTGGGATCATGACCTGAGCCGAAGGCAGACGCTCAACCACTAAGCCACCCAGGCGTCCCGAAATTTTTAATTTTAGAAGAAAGTCTTTGTTTTAAATTTTCATGATAAACTGAAGAAAGCAAAATCAGTTCAGCAAGTTTATAAACAGTAATAGCTAGTTTTTTTCTATAGACAAGCTACAAATATCATTCTATAAGAATGATAAGACTTTCTAATCGTTTCCTGATTAGGTATGTATGATGATACAAGATGCCATTAATTTATTTGTGCAAGGCTTTTTTTTCCTCCTCTTTCTGAACTTCTCTGTTAGAACTATTAACTTATTTTAGATGTTGCTTCCAGATAATCTATCTTCCTTTGGTCTCCATGGTACTACCTGCTCCTTAGTTTCCTTTCCTATCTGAGCCTGTCTCTCAAGCCCTTAGAACACAGTGATTAAATGCCCACTAGGGGCGCCTGGGTGGCTCAGTCCGTTAAGTGTCTGCCTTCGGCTCAGGTCATGATCCCAGGGTCCTGGGATCGAGTCCCACATCGGGCTCCCTGCTCAGTGGGGAGCCTGCTTCTCCCTCTGCCTGCCGCTCCCCCTGCTTGTGTGCTCTCTGACAAATAAATAAATAAAATCTTAAAAAAGAAATTAAAAAAAAAAAAAAGGCCCACTATGCCAGATATGGTCTCTTTCCATGACTCCTCTTCCTGAGGTTCTCTGTTCTTTTATTCTTTGTGCTAGAAACATTTATTCTCAAACCTTTAATTATTACTAGAGCCACCTTTTCCAAACATTCAAACCGGTAAGCACTCCTCTTTTTCCCCCAAATAAACTTAAGTGAGACCCTAACACATCTGTAAAATAGATAAAACTCTAGAAAATATAGGTATCTAAATCTAAATAGATATCTAAAGGAGATTAAAAAAACGATTTAGTAACTCTGGCTGATTCAAGGGGAAAGTCTCACTCGCACTCTGGCCTGGACCTCTCGGCAACAGCTTGGTGGGTACACCTCTATGGTACTGGAACCCCAGTGGAGAAGCCCTGACCTGTATCTGAGACCTGTCCTTTGATCTGGGCTTGGGGCCTGTATTTCTAATTCCTCACTGCTAGCTATTCTCACTATGACTTTACCATATCAAGACCAACTTGTCCAAATATCAAACTTACCACGTTAATTCTCCTACTCAATTTCCCCAGCCTGTGTTCAATCTGCCAGTCTCCAAAGCTCAAAATCTTGTACCCATTCTTTTTCAGTCTACATGTTTACCTGCCAAGATCGGTTAATTTTTCCTTAAAGATATTTAAACATCTACTTACCTGTTTATTACCAACACCACACCTTTAATACAGGCCTTTCTGTATTACAGCAAAAGAACTTCTAGGGTCTCCATTCTATAGAACTCTTCCAGACTAACCTTTCATAAATACCACATGTAAAGCATCAACATCCTGTTCAAAAGCCTACAGGCTCCCTATTTTCTCTGTCTCAACTCTCTGTTCTGGTCTTTAAGGCCCTTATAATTGGCTATCAATCTTCTGTAAAAATATCCCTTTACTTGTCTGAAGTACTTGTCCCTTTGCCCAATATATACTCAAATAAATAAGAAGCTGGGCTGGTAGGGAAAAGAGAAAGAACTGCCTCTTTCATTCAGATCCTTATTATTCAACTTTTATATAGATTAAGTCCCATTTCTACAAAATCTTCCCTACACTTCAGAAACCATTTGCTGATCTCAAATTCCTCTAAACTCCTCACAATACTTCATTTAACGAAGTCAACATATTGAGGGCCTCTTCTGCTACAACTAGAAAACAAGAGCTACCAAGGTAGTACCTCCTACATACCAGGCATTGTACTGGTTGCTTGATACACATTTTTTGTTGGTACGTTATTTCATTATCTCCCACAACAATTTTCCTCATTTTGGAGATGTGGATACAGACAAAGTTAAATACTTTGCTATAAGTCAATGAGCTGGTAGAGAGTCGTATCAACAGGCAGGATTTCAACTTTGGTCTGCCAGACTCTAGGAAATCACTCTTTTACCTTTGGTTGGAAATGCAGACTCTAGAATTACTGTGTGGATAAAATAATATATGTAAATGTCTCCAAGTACCTCCCACCCAACATGCCAAAACTGAACATATAATTTCCCAACTTGGTTCTCCACCAGTCGCACTGTTAGGCAAGCCAGAAAAGTAGGTGTTAATCTGAAACTTCCCTGTCCCTTACACCTCATATTTAATCAATAACAAAGTTCTATCCATTTTAGCTCTAAATTGATCAATCCAGATCTCTTTATTTTCATCATTATAGATCTAGCCCATGCCATCTGTGGAATCACTTGATAAATGTTCCTCTCCCTTACCGATCTGTAAATTCAGTGAGTGCAGGATCAAGTCTTTTTTTGTTTAGCCGCAGTTCTGGGCTAATGCCTAAAACAGAACAGGTGTTCAAGAAATGGTTGTTATTAGTATCTTGGTATATTTGCTTTTATTCCGTGTCTAAGTTCTAATCAGACTGCAAACTTCTCGAGGGCCTGTTTCCTACACTGCTTCTGTATGATTCTAAGGTAAGCCAGTGAATGCTAAGCACAGATTATGTACTGCCACAGGGTAGGAAAATGGAATTTTTTAGCCGGGTACAGATTTAGAAGTTAGGCAGGCCAATCCTCTCACTCCACAAATGAAGAATCTGAGGAAGGTTACATGACTTCCCAAGGTCATACTGTTAGTAGCAGAGTTTAGGGTAGAAATCTAAATGCCTGAGACATCAAATCTAAATGCCTGAGACATCAAATCCTTTCCTTCTTACATTCAGATCTAGTCTTTACACATGCTGCTTGCTAAGGGCTTGAAGTCTTTATGAAAGCCAATCAAATTTTGCTTAAGGAAGGCAGTATGAACCAACATGGAATCCAACTGCTTTAAATTATCAGAAGTAAGCAGAAAATAAGACTGTCAGGTACCCTAGTTCTTCCCTAATGTTACAAATCTCGTAAGTTATAATTAGTCTCTCCCCAGCAAACTGAGCATATATGGCTAATACTCAATGCTAGCCACACAAGATAACAAACATTTGAAAGAAAAAAAATCTAAGCAGCAATCTACAGATCTCAGGTAAATAAATTTTATTTAGGAAATTTATATGTAATGGCTATATAATTAATTTCCATTATGATTTTCCATTCCAATCTTTGTAATTAACATAATGAAATCAGTCAACACTATAGTAGAGATTACAACCTAAAGAAGCATGCTCTAACCTATAAAAAAGGACAATATACAGATTACAATACGGTACTCTGAATATATTTTAAGTTAAGATCATTCATCCAAAGTAACAGAGAAGTAAAAACTGTAATCATCCACATTTCTGGATAAACAACAGAAAACCAATCTTATAAGTGGCAGTTCTTTACTCCAGAACTGTCAGCTCATTTCAGAGTATTTTTTACTTTTTGTTTTGTTTTTAAAGATTTATTTATGGGGTACCTAGGTGGCTCAGTCAGTTAAGTGTCCACCTTCAGCTCAGGTCATGATCCAGGGTCCTGGGATCGAGCTCCACATCAGGCTCCTTCCTCGGCGGGGAGTCTGCTTCTCCCCCTCTCTGCCCCTCCCCCCCATTCATGCTCTCTCTCTAATAAAATACACTTAAAAAATAAAAAAGATGTATTTATTTATTTTAGAGAGAGAGAGTACGCACAGTGGGGAGGGGCATAGGAAGAGAGAGTCTGAAGCAGACTCCGCACCAAGCGGGGAACCCAACACAAAGCCCGGCGCAGAACTTGATCTCACGACCCTGAGATCACGACCTGAGACAAAACCAAGAGTCAGACGCTCAACCCACCCAGGTGCTCCTCGCTTTTTGTTTTTTAAAATAAAGTCAACTACAAAGCGTAAGAGACTCTCAACTATAGGAAACAAACTAAGGGTTGCTGAAGGGGAGGAGAGTGGGGGGATGGGATAACTGGGTGATGGGCATTAAGGAGGGCACCTCATCTAATGAGCATTGCATGTTATATGCAACTGATGAATCACTAAACTCTACCTCTGAAACTAATAATACACTATATGTTAATTCGTTGATTTTAAGTTAAAAAAATAATGAAGTCAACTCATCGATTTTAGGGAACAAACATGATTAATAGGAGGGCACTGGTTTACTGTATCACTAGAACAGCCAACAAGTGCTTAGTAAAAGCCTATTATATGCAAGGTGTTAAAGAATATACAGGTTGAACAAGGAAATACGTCACAATCATAAATAATTATAAAAGAAGGAAGAGATGATTAATGGCAAAAGAAGGGGGAAGATAACAGGATTAAATAGCCTGTAAATGCAAAGCACATCACTTTTTAATATAATGGAATGCCACTGAACTCACCTTTAATTGACTTGACATCTGAGGTCTTCTCTTGTTCTTTGCCTTTCACTGGAAGATAAAAGAGCATCATGACCAACCTCTACAGTCAAAAAGATCCCATCTATATGATGTAAAAATTAGATAAGCTTTATTCTAACAGATGAATATTCAAAGTTGTACAATGGAATCACAACAGCCTTGGAGGGAGACAGGGCAAGACAGTTGTCAGCGGAAGTTTCTCTGAGGAAGTGACCTTTGACCATCATTCAGTCGAGAGCACTGAGTGTTCTTATGGGCAGACAATGTCAGAATACCTGGGTTCAGATTCTAGCTTGCCACTTATGACACAGCTATGTGATCACAGACAAGTTACTTCTCTGGGTCTCAATTTCCTTGATTTATAAAATTAGAACAGTAATAACAACACCTATCTTAGAGGGTTATGAGTGAAAAAATAAAAAGTTGTAAAGGGCTTAGAAGAGCAACAGGCACACCGTTAGTTTAGGATGTTAACTAGTATTATTAAAATATGCCTATTACTAGATGCATCTTGAAGAAAAAGAGTTCTCTGTGTATCATCTGACTTCTTGTGTATTCCTCTCACAACATCAAATACAAACATTCTAAACTTATATTCTAAATATCTAATACTCAAGGCTTAACCATTTCTCTCAAAAAGCAATAGTCTCTTCTCTATTATACAGAACAGTAGAAATTCTACTGCAAATATGCTAATAATATAATATCCAAGAAAGGAAGGTACATGGCAGCTTAAGCAAAGCGTGAACTCTTACAGAATCTGACATAAGACTATTTTTAACCTTCCTTACTTTTCTTGTATTTTTTTCAACATTAAATTTTCTTTAACCCTACCATGAAAAGCCTATCAAAATAAGAAATCCCCAAATGTGACCATCTCTCTACTCATGCTCTTAAACATTCAACACTGAGAGGCTAGTAGCAGGAAATAACTAGCTCTCAGAGTATCTGATAAATTAATCCATCAACAAATATTTGAGTGCCTCGTATGTGCTAGACACTCTCCCGGCTCAGAAAAGAACAGTCCTGTCTTCAAGAAGTCTATATACAAGAACGTGGAGACAAACATGGACAAAAATAAGATCATTTCAGGTACTGATCACTGCTGTTGGGAAGAAAAGAAAATAAGGAAATGTGGTAGAAGTAACTGGGTTGCAGCCCTCGCCGCAGCATCTGCCAACTGACTACATCTCCCATTTGAAACATGAACTTGTCTTGACTTCCAAGACACTCGACTCCCCTGGTTTTCTAGCTGCTCCTTCTCAGTTTTATTGCCTGGCTAACTTCTCCTCTACCTGCCGGGAGTTTCTCAGAGAAAGGGTTTTAAGCACCTTTGCTTTTCACTACGTACACATATGTATTTCCTGGCTGAACTTACCCATTCTGAAGGTTTTCAATACCGTGTATAAGCTATGAATCCTGAATTTCTATTTCTAGTCTAAATTCTTTTTGACCTTAAATTCATTTAGTTAACCATCCACCCATCCTCTTCTATAATTACACTGGTCCAAAAATGGAACATACCATCTCTTCCCAAACCTGGTTTACCTTACTTTTCATTCTCTCTCATGAATGACACTCCCATCCCAGTTTCTCAGGCCAAAAATCTCGGGAGTCATTCTTTTTTTTTTTTTTTTTTAAGATTTTATTTATTTATTTGAGAGAGAGAGAATGAGAGATAGCATGAGAGGGAAGAGGGTCAGAGGGAGAAGCAGACTCCCTGCTGAGCAGGGAGCCCGATGTGGGACTCGATCCCGGGACTCCAGGATCATGACCTGAGCCAAAGGCAGTCGCTTAACCAACTGAGCCACCCAGGCGCCCTCGGGAGTCATTCTTAACATGTCTCTCCCTTTTTCCCACACCCAAACCACTTCTAAGACCAATTGATTCTACCACTAAAACATACCCCCACAGTTCTACTTTGTCACTCTCAATACATTCTCATCAATCAGATCTAGTCAATATTTCAAACAGAAAAGTAACACACAATCCAACTTCACTACATATTAGTGTTTTGTCTTACTTCCTTTTTCCCCCTAAATATTATATGAAGGGTCCTATGACTCACTACCTGATCCCATTGCTCTTCTACCCTTCCCAGAGATAAATATTGCCCTAAAATGGATGTGTTTACTATCAAACAAACCATGTATGTTTTTAGACTATTACTACATGAATGTAAAACATGCAATTATTCTGTACATTTTTAAAATTGACATGAATAGTACTCTTCTACACATATCTGAAACTTGTATTCATCCCATAATTTGACTTGTCTATATTGATGCATTCATGTAGCTCTAGTTCATTCATTTTAGCTGTTTAATTCCTAAAGTACACCTTTATTTATTCATTCTCCTGTTAATGAACATTTCGGTTTTATTTCCTAGTTTTTACTATCACAGACAATGATGTGATCAACAGGGGCACCTGGGTGGCTCAGTTGTTAAGCATCTGCCTTCGGCTCAAGTCATGATCCCAGGGTCCTGGGATCGAGATCTGCTTCTCAGTCTCCCACTCCCCCTGCTTGTGTTCCCTCTCTCGCTGTGTCTCTGTCTGTCAAACAAATAAATAAAATCTTTTTTTTTTTTTAAAGATTTTATTTATTTATTCATGAGAGACAGAGGAGGAGAGAGAGAGAGAGAGAGAAGCAGACTCCCAAGGAGCAGGGAGCCCGATGCGGGACTCGATCCCAGGACCCTGGGATCATGACCTGAGCCGAAGGCAGACGCTTAACCATCTGAGCCACCCAGGCGCCCAAATAAATAAAATCTTAAAAAAAAAAAAATGATGGGATCAACATTCTAGTACATGTCTTCCTATGCAGTCTGTATGTAAGAATTTCTCTAGGAGGGGCGCCTGGGTGACTCTGATGGTTGAGCGTCTGCCTTCGGCTCAGGTCATGATCTCCAGGTCCTGGGATCGAGCCTGGCGTCGGACTCCCAGCTCAGTCAGGAGTCTGCTTCTCCTTCTCCCTCTGCTCCTCCTTCTCCCTCTGCTCCTCTCCCTGCTTGTGCTCTTTCTCTCTCTCAAATGAATAAATAAATCTTAAAAAAAAAAATTTCTCTAGGATAGAACACTATAAATGGAACTGATAGGTAACCAATGATGGGCATTTTTAATGAAAGTGGCTATTTAATGAATATTTTTCAAATGGTATTTGATGGTATTTTTCATTCATTTCCTTGATTTCCTTTGAGGGGCTATCCTTTTGTATTTATTGGGTATTCAGGTATCTTCTTTTATGGGCTGGCTATTCAATTCCTTTGTCCTTTACTTATTTGTAGAAATTCCATACATAGTCTGGATATTAATCCTTTGTGTTGCAAATACCGTATGTGTATTTTATTGTATGGAAGCTTTAAATTTTAATGTGGCCAAATTTACATTATGTGGATTGTATTTTCCTACCTTATTGTTTAAGATATCCTTTCCTAGCCCAAGATCAGATTTTTTCCCCTGTATTTTCTTCCATATGATTTCAAATTTTGCTTTTTAAAATTCTGGGCTCTTATCTACCTGTATTTATTTCTATTTGTCAGATATCAGGAAACTACAGCCCATGGGCCAAATTAAGTTTTTATAAATAAAGTTTTAGTTTAACACAGCCATGTCCATTTGTTAACATACTATCTATGGCTACAAGGACACCATCTTGTCTTTTACAGAAAGTTAGCTGACCCCTGATGTATATGATAGGAGATAGAAAAACCCTAATTGTTTTTTTTGCCAGAGGGATAGCAAACATCATTTACTGATTAGTCCAACCTTTCCCAACTGAACAGGAACTCTTTATATTCCAAGTTCCCATATATACATAGGTCTGTTTCTGGGCATTTAATTCTACTGTCTTAATTACCTAACCATATAATCAGCCTTTGGCAGGGCCAAGTCCTCTACCTTATTCTCTTTTGAAACTATCTGCCCTATTAATTATAGGATCAACTTGTCCTGATCCTAAAACCCCGATGGGAATTTTTAAAGTAGCACTAACTGAATGATTAATTTGGGGGAGAGTTCACATCTTTCTGGTACTGAGTCTTTCTATCTATGAACATAGTATACCTCTCCATTTATTTGGGTGTCCTTTCATGTCAAACTAGGTTTTGTAAACTCCATTAAGATTTTAGTCTTTTGTTTTTACTAGCATACAGCAGTACAACTGAGTTTTAAATACTTTCATATAAATGCATTTATTTTAAAAACCCAGTTGAACTCTTAGGAGTTCTAATAGTATGTGTGTAGATTTCCTTCAGTTTTTTATATATGCAATCATGTTATCTGGGACTAATGATTCCTTTGTTCCCCTTCCCTCCCAAAACTTAAATTTCCCCTCTTTTTTGTTTTGTGTGTGTGCTATTATGAAGACTATATTAGCTCTCTTTTTGTCTAATATCCCTGATATGTTTTCCCATCCTTTTGCTTTTAACCTTCTCATGATCCTTTTTATACTAAACAGTATACAGGAGGAATCTAGTCTTTTCACTGAGACAGCCCATTTCTGTTTATTGTGATTACTGCTCTTGATTTCTAAAGATCAAAAACTTTAACTATGACTATGAATTTGTTGATTTCTCCTGGTAATTCTGTATATTTTGCTTTATGTATTTTGAGACTGATATTGGTGCAAACCAGTTCAGAGTTTTATCCTCCTACTACCCTGTTCATCTTTTCATAATGTAGTGACCTTTTTAGCCCTGATAATGTTTTGCGCTTTAAAGTATATCATCTGCCACACAGCTTTCTTCTGGTTAACATTTGTCTGCTATATTCTTCCATCCAGTTATTTTCAATTTCTCTATGTCCTTATGTTTTAGTTGTGTTCCCAGTAGTTTATGGCTGGATCTTATCCAGCCTGACTTTTTGTTTTTTAGCTATACAATCTTCTGCTAGAATTTAGTCTATTTACATTTATTGTGACTACTGATATATTTAGGTTTATTTCAGCCACCTTATTTTGTACTGCTGACTATGCTTTTTCTTGTTTCTCTATTTCTTTTTATTATGACACATCTAAAACAAAGACAATA